GCCCACATTGCACGAGAGAAATATTTGCTGGGAGTGGGAGCTGGCCCTTGAGAGGTCCTGTCCCCTCCTTGCACCGAGCAGGCGGGACGCATAGGGCTGATGTTTAAAATAAATGCCTAAGGGGGTTCACGTGCACACCACAGGTAATCACCCCATCCACTCCATCCCACGGGTGTCAGAGTCCCCACTTTTCAGAGTCACCTGCTCACCCCAGCTTATTCTTAAAAATCCACATTTTTACCATCAATTTGGTCCAGAGAGACAGCCGAAATGGTCACAGATTCTTTTCAATGAAAAAAAAAAAAAAATCTGTTTCTGCCACACAGAAATATCCAGTAACGCTTTTGTTGTAACCTGACGCTTAAAATTCATAAGAGAAAAAAAAAAAAAAAAAAAAAAAAAAGAAAATTACCCAGAAGCCACTCACTAGTCACGGACAGAAGTCTGCACAGAGCAAGAGCCCTCAGCCCCCTTCCCACCACCAGCGATGCCCACGCTACCCGCTCGCGCTTGGCAGAGCCTGACCTTTCATAATTAAGAGGCAAGAGCCCCAGATTCAATTAACCAGCACTACCCAGCTTAATATAATCAAAAGAGAAAGATATTGCATTATGCTTCCTATGATTTGGTTGCGGAAGTTTGCATCAAATTCACCAGCAAGTGAATTAAATGGGAAGCTGCTGCTCGAGGGCAGCGGCAAACAAGAGGATGGCAGGCACGATGCTCGGTCCATTGGCAGCCCGGGCTCTCTCCGCCGAGCTGGAGCACCCACACCGCTCCCGGCGTGCGCTTTGGCTTGGGGATAGGGAGAGTGGGCACCGCCGTGCCCAGCATCGCCCGTCCCCAGAGATGGTGGTCACCTCCCCAGGGAGGGGACGGGCAACCACGTAGATGCCAGGTACGGAGGGTTTGGTGACGCTTTACAGGGACACATGCTCCTCCAGGGGATTAATATTTATTTCTGCCCTTGGGCCTCTGCTATTCCCATGCTGCTTCTGCTGTTCCCCCTCTCCTCCTTCCCTACATCCCTCTCTCTCCTCTCCGGCTCCTTCCCTCTTCCTGTCCTCCAGCTCTCCCTAAGCAGCACTGGTGCTCCAGCAAAACAGCGGCTCCAAGATAACGTGCTGCCGTCCTGCCATCGCCGAGAGATGGGCTAGGACCCCCCAAAAGCACAGCCAGTGCGATGGGGAGTAGGGCTCTGTGGCCCAGGACCGATGCCCGGGCAGCCCTGCAGCACCGGGGGCTGCAAGCCAGCATCCTGCAATAAAACCCAACCATAGAAACCACTGAACCGCCTGGATCCAGCCAGGTGACACCTCGGCTCAGCTCTGCTGCCTGTTTTCTAGGGAAAGGAGATGTCACTTGGACTCGTGGGCCATGGCAATGGCCACAATCAGGTCCCCCATCACCACCCGCAGTCATTTCTGTTGTGCTGGGCAAAGCCTTTGCTCGCCGGGACAGCAGCTGGTATTTGACCGATGTGCCAAAAGTGCTGGCGAGGCCTGGAAATTTTTGTGCAAATGTGATGTGAAAATTGGGCTGAAATGACAGTCTTCCCCTGCAGTGTCACCGAGTCCTACCAGCTTCGGAGTGACGCTGGGATAAGCCGCAGATGTTAATGAGAGCGGAGTTTTAGGCTTCATTCATATCATCAGTTCCAGAAATAGCCCCTTTGACAGGAGCATAATGGGACTTCCAGGGTCTGGGCTTTGGGGGGGTGGGAGGAGGCAAGGACTAAAATCCTAAAACATTAATTCAGGCTGTTTGCAAGGGAAGTTAAAAGTCCTCAGAATTAATCTGCCTCAAGGATGGAAATAATAAACCCTTCCCAGCTTTGCCCCCGCCTGCACCAGCCCACCAGGAAAAGGCCCTTCATGTCACGCCCAGCTGACAGGTTATAGGACTCCCATCACAACCCCGGACATTTCACTGGATTTTCCTTTTTCCTACCATAAATTCTTTGAAAGCAAAACTGGCACCCATCTTTTGCTTTTAGCATTTGCAGGAAGCATTTGCATCCCCTCGGATGCCGCACGCTGAGG